AAATCTTTTCAAAATCAAACGAAATGAAATTGGAAATGATAGACTTTGTTAATCAAAATTCTCAACTTAAATTCAATTTTTTAAAGAAAAACAAACAAAACACTTTTCTTCATTTTTTTCTTTGGAGTTTATTCGATTTTTTATTTAAGAAAAAACTTCATTCACAATATTATTTCAAATTTTTGAATTCGATTATTCCAACGATCAGTAACATAAAGATTTCCTTCAGCATCAAAAGATAAACAATTAGGACTATTCAATTGATTTTCTTGGCCAAATCCACCAACAACAATTTCACCTTCGTCTTTCCCTTCACACCAACGCATTACTCGTTGATTTCTCCGATCTGCTACATAGATTTGACCCAAATCATCAACAATCACTCCTCGAGGATAAAACAATTGATTGAGATTCTCACCTTGACCATTTCCTCCAGCTACAACTATTCCTTCTTTTGCATCCTTTCTCCATTTCGTCACACGATCATTCTTCCTATCTGATACATAAATAGATTGATCTTCATCAACAAAGATAAAACTAGGAGTATTTAATTGATTGGGTTGATCTCCTCTTCTATTTCCACCAGCCACTATAGTTCCTTCATTGTTATATTCTCCCATTTTCCATCGTCTCACTTCATTTTTCACATAATCAGAAACATAAAGAAATCCATGTTTATCCATTGCCAAGCCATGACAGTCAATATTGCGGATGAGAATTTGTTGATTTTGATTTAACCATTGAATCACTCGTCTGTTCCCTTGATCAGCAACCATGATGGAATGATTTTGTTGATCAACAATCACATCAGTTGGATGATTCAATTGATCCATTCGATTTCCTTGTCCAATTCCACCTGCGATGATTTGTCCTTTTTTTGCATTGCATTTCCATTCAACAATACGATGATTACAAAAATCAGCAATGAAAATATTTTTATTTTTATCAATAAAGATTCCAGCAGGACGACTGAGTTGATTTAATTGTTGTCCTTGTCCATTTCCAGCAGCTATGGTGATGGCATTTTGTTTCCATTTGTTGAATTTTGGTCCTAGAAAAATATGAAAAGAAAAAGAGCATAAAATATTTGAAGTTTTGTATTTTAAGAAAAAAAGAATTTAAAACTTATTGTTTTTCGAATCGAAATTTGAAGGAGAAAGAATATTTTTAATGAAAGATAATTTATTTGTGAAACAACTTGATAAATATTTAATTGGAAAACAATTCAATTTGTTTTATTAGACAAACATATCTTTTGAATCTTTGAAGATAGTTTTTTAACGTTAATTCTTAGAAAATGAGAATTATCCTGTTAGAAATAATTTCTTAAAAACTTACTTTTAGATAAAATCATTGAGATATCATTAATAAACGGCTGTGAATTTTGTTGAATAGATATATTTGGTGGATTATTTAATTTTTGTTTAATTTCTACTAATTGTTTTCTTAAATAATTTAGATTAATTTCATTAAAGTCATTTTCTTTACGAATTTGCTTTATTTGTTCCGTTAAGTCATTAAGTTTCTTTTCAATATCATTAATAAGTGTTGCCGAACATTCCAGGACAATTTCTCTCCAATTTTGTGCTTTTTGTTGAATTTTTTTCAAGTGATTCTATTTCCCATTGATTGATTTTTTCTATTAAC